ATTCTTGTAAGCTCGCTGGATAACTACTGCATAGAAATTCTTAAACTGATAGTTGTATTGTCTCGCAATCAAGAATCTCCAAGATCGCTTCATTGATCTTCCTGAACTTCTCGAAAAATACTTTATTAAAATAGTTATAGATTCGAGAATCTAACCTAGAATAGGTAGATCATGCATAGCATCTGCAGGTCATAATTTCACTAGGCGATCATGCATACAGAGCGTTACATAAGCAAAGTAAAAAATAAATTGATTGATTTATACATGAATATGAAATATACTATTTTAATAAAGAATCTATGTTTCGAAAAATTTGATGCACATATTCACAATTATTATTCAGATCTAAGAAATCTATATTAGTAAACTTTCCCTCGGTAGTATAATATCCAGATTTAAAATAGTCAATTTTTAGCGAATCACATGGATATAGTTTACCTGCCAATTTGCATTCATATCGCACATATTCTAAACTTTTAACATAGTTTACATTCCCATTGTTGAGGTGTTTATAATATTCAGGATTTTCTAGCCATTTTGACATATAAGGCCAAATATCATATGTAACGAGTCTATAGCCTTTTAGATATAATTTTATAAAGCAACTATATGTGCTACATTATTTAATCGTCCCCATAACTGGTCTCTCTTTTTTCTACCCAAATCCTAGGATGATAATAATCATATTTTTGTATCCTGTGACCTGTTTGGCTAGATATTCTTTAATATATTTTTGAGCAATATTTTCGTTATATGCTTTTTTAATGCAGTTGGCATAATTATCAGTATGCAAATCATATTCTTCTTGAGTCAGAGGATTTATTTTCCATTCACTAGTTGAAAGTATACCTAAATATTTTGACCTATCAGGAGTACCATCATTTTTCACTATATTCCAAACTTGTTTTGCCCAAGTTTCAGGTCTCAACTTGAAAGCTCTCCAAGCCCGTTGGATTATTTTTGCATTATTAAATATATGATATGCAGTCTTTTTCCACAATTCATAGTCTGCATCACATCTAATACTAAAACCCCGACTAGAAAAATCAGTAAATTTACTACAAATCTCATAAATTTCATCTTTACTTAGTTCTGATGCTATTCTTCCTCCTTTTTTCACATTCTTTCGTACAGAATTAGAATGCATTTTAGCAGTTTTAGTAATACATTTCTTCAGATAATCATTGTCACATTCAATAGTATTTTCACAGATAATTACTAAGGAATTGCATATAGTGCAATAAATATGAAATGAGCGTCTCCCAGCTTTAAATTCTCCATATTTATATTCTCTTTCAATCATGTGAATAAATTCATTCTTGGAGAAGAATTTAGGGTTATATTCAAGAAGTTTTCTAAATAGAACACGAATTCGAAAATACCACATTTTTAGCGTTTCATCACTATATCTGTAATGTAGATTGACTAATGCTTTCACTACTATAGGATTTAAACCATATTAATAGTCAGTTCTAACCATTTTTATGATTATAAATAGTTTATAGGTGAATTGGTGACTTATAGCAATTTTATCGATTTATAATAGATTATATCAAGTATATTATAATAAAATATTTCATTCATTTTTATTCGATTGTTCAGGTGAAAAACAGATTCATATTTTTTTGATTTGGCTAAATTAGACCTGATCACCATGGTCAGCTAAACTATAAAATTTGTATTATATCCCTAGTTTATGCCAGTTCCTCGATAGTTCTAGGAGTATTCTAGACGCTAGCGTATTTCTATAAATCATGAGATGATCGGCCAATCAGGTTTCAGATTTTTTCTTTAGCTGGATAGCCCTTGATTTAGAAAAATTATTACAACTATTTTTTCTGATGGTAGAGTTTGGACATCGTGTCCTAGCTTGATTTAATTGTGCAGAAGCGAGATCAACATCTGGTTAAATTTGTCTCCCGAAACTTATATTTTTTCTATGAACACTTGATCAATCAGAGTCAGGAATGGTATTGGGAATAATCCCAGGGATAGTCTCAGGGATTGTGTTACAATACAATTTTATTTTATTCAATGAGCAGATTACACATCATATGTATGAGTTAAAAAATGCAAGCCTTATTGGGTGAAACTTTATTAATTACTGACAAAAGTGAATCATGCTTTACAATACTACATATAAAAAAAGTGCTAAACTTTGAGAACGCGCTATGTGGCCTAATCTCAGAATTCCACCATCATTTGGCCTTAGGTTCGTGTGTTCTTTCTAACCTGAGATGCTACATATCTCATCACTTAGATTCGAAATAGATGTTGCTGAAAATGATTTTATTCGTTGGATGAATACCATCCGTTGAATTTTATCATTAGTAATATAAAAAAAAAGATCATAGACCTTCCTTGTCCTGTTCGATTTCTTCCAGATAGCGTTTTTGGTAACCTCTTTAGGAAGCTAATCTTTAACCTCATTGTAAAGCTTCTTTAGGGCTTCATGTTCTTCGTTTTTTTCTCTATAATAAACAAGGCGTTTCTCTAGTTTTTTTTCCATATTGGTAATAAGCTATAATGAGTTCATGGCATGCCTTTTCATTTCGCTCTTCAGCATTGGTGATCTTAAAATACAGATTAAAAAAAATTTGGGTACTTTTATCTTCTTGCATGGATTCTCTTTAGAGACCTTTCTTTTCCTTAATTACTGAAATTCGAGTGGTATCGAAAGACAACTCCCGGATGAGTCTTTTTAAAATGTTGGAGTTTTCATCTAGATCACGTTTCTTAGATTTCTTGCTGGCTGAAATATCAGTAGCCTCATTAGCCCGTTTCTTGCTCTTACTGTTAGAAGAAGCTGAGTCAGTTTCCTCTGGCAGAGTTGATTCTACTTCCACATCCTCATTATTCTCTTTATTCACGTCCACTGGTCCTCCGGGATCTAATGACAGATTTTTATCATCGGCCACGCCACATGAGCACAATAATACTTCCCTTTTATCAGGTTTTCCCACACAAGTCCGATGGACTATATCGCCACAAACATTTAAAACGAGCGATTTAGGTGGATCTTCTGTTAAAATAGGCTTATCATATTCTTGACACGCCTCATAATCCTGGATTGTATTATTAGATTTAATAGATGAAAAGTCTGATTCTTCACGAAGAATATCTTCTGGAAGATATTTTAGTATACTCAACGCAAGGGATTTAAGGATTCTGTTATGCCTCAGTTGTACTTTGTAAATATTACTGCTTTGGATGTTATCAGTTTGATCTTTCGTATCTGATTCCTCAAAGTGATCCTCCATATTGTTATTATCAGGAGTATTCAGGCTTTTGACTCCTGTATTAGCGGAGCTCTCTTGGTTTTCCATGGTAATGTTTTTTCGAAAAAAAAAAGATAATATTTCTCATTTATTTTATAGGATCGCAGGAGTAAAATATTGCTAAATTTTCATTAGCAATTATGCGGTCCCTCCCTTGGGACCTATACTGCATTTCATCATTCATTAGCCCCTTGCAAATTAATAAAAAAGACTTTATGATTAGTGTCTCCAGCCAATGATCTCTTAGCGATCTGATATGCGAAATAAGAAAACTAACTATATTTGAATATTGTTTTATTAATATGATAATAGCGTGGTTGGAGACATGACGCAAAAATAAATGCAAATCGAGTCAAAAAAAATAATGCGAATATATATGCGATTCGCACGCTGTACAGCCCCTATTTATATCACATTACTGCGCATTTCAGTTGATCGATTCCACATGACCGCTTATGCTACCTTTCTTGATTTTAGTGAGCTCAGTATTATACCGTCACAATTTGTGTCGGAGTTTAGGAAACACATAATTTTCTGTTTTTTAAAGGTATATAGCACAATATTTATATTATCCTTAGCTAGATAACAGCATATAGAAAACCATTCCCTCAGGGAACTATCAGTCATATGATTTTTTTTGGCGTTTTTTTCAGAATTGCTTTGGGATTATTATTTGTAGTAACTTATATTTTTTAACATGCATATATATGATATGGTTTTACCGATATGTAATTTGTATCATATATTAATACACAATCACTTTCTAAACATTGGGAAAATGTAAAAAATGTAAGCCCAATTAGGCGAACTAATGCTTTATTATAACTTTATTCTAATTATTGAAAATGTTGTATTAATACTTAACAGCCTCATTTCTTATTAATAAATTTATTAACATTATATTAACTGCCATTTATCAACTAAAGACTGTTTCTGTTTGAAGTCAAGAGATAAAAAAGTTTTGATCGCATCCTCTCTTTCTAAATCTGTCTTTTCATCAAACTTACTCCATTGGGTATCAAGTGACCAAGGATAAGTGAAAAGTATTTTAGACAGTCTTTTGCTAATTTCATCATCATAACATTTGAAAGATCTGATACCTTGAATATGAATAATTTGATCATAATCGTTCTTTTCATCTTTCTTATCTTCATTATTTTTATTTTTTGATCATGTTTGTGAAACATTTCTACTCTTTAATTCTGCTTTTGGTTCAACCGCTTTCTCTCTATCTAAGCCAAGATCGATGTAGATGCCTAGAATCTTATAATCCTTCTTCCATTCACCAAAGGAATTTAATGGATGTATTAAAGAAGAAATATCCTTAGCACCAAAGGTTGTTTTTTTCGCGTTCTTATTTTGAATTGAAATAATACCATAGCCGGCATTATATTTGAAGGGAATGATATGATAAATAACATGAAAGCTAATGGTATTTTAAAAGCAGTGTGGCGGTGATAAGCTTCTATGATAAGATTCTCTGATAGAAATTTCATCCTCCTGGATTTCACATAATCTTGATTGGTAGCTAAAAAAGATGTCCAATGGTTAAAACCAATTTCTGCCTCATCAATACCCATTCTTTTAAGCAACTTATCAAGACTATCTATTTCTTCGCATAACAAGGACTTTAAAAATGATTTCAGAGGAACTTTTTGCAAATATGTTAATGGTTAACTAGGGAAACATTCCTTTACAGCATCTGTATAAGCTTTTGAAAATAAGATTCGATTGATAAGTTCTCCTCTTTCTCCCACTTTCACAACCCCACGACTAAACATTTCCAACAGTGTGTCCAAGCAATTTTCCCAACCAACATCAATAATACCTTTAAGTGCTCCAGATGCAAGGATAGTATCAAAAGGATATGTACAAAGAATACTTGTACGATCAAGTGAGACTTCTATTGCAGTTACTATATGGGATGCTATCAGGCTATCTACTTCAGCAATTTGAGGAGAAACCTCAAGAGATAGGGAGCAAGCCATACATGCAAGGTTCGCAAGATAATCATTATTCTTCTTACTAAAATTGCGGATCTTTTGTGAAGCTAGGTGAACAAGGTGTATAAGACTAACTTCAGCTTGAGCAAGAGAACCCCAAAGTGAAATTCCTAGATAAACAACCCTCTTATAATCATATTCTTTACCAACATTTTTAGCAAGCGGTGCTAATACATCCATAGTGTTGACATCTAAATACGCAAGAAATATAACGAAATCATGTGATCTGGCAGAGCTAGTGTCTTTTGTCACTTGAGGGAGGAAATTGCCAACCTTTCCATTTATACTGAGAAGGATATTAAAGAATCCAGCCCATGAAATTTCTCGAATTTGTCATCTCCATTGAACAAAATAGGTTTCATCATCCTTTGTCTTTGTAAGTAATTCATGCGTCTCATCAAAACAACAAACTATAGAGATTTCTATATTGGGAAATAATTTCTTCACAAAATTTTCGTTATTATAGTCTGATGAAAGTTTTTTTTGTTGTAATAATGATTCAAAGA